CACGCAGTACGAGCGCGAGAAGGCGCTGCGCAAGCAGGCCGAGGAGGTGCGTGAGCCGCGCGCCCCGCCCCGCCCTCATTGCCCCCCTCATTATCCTCCCTTCATTGCCTCCCCAGGCAGTTTCCCTCCAGCACTCTCTGGCAGGCTTGTGGCCTCCGCTGCCTCCCCTCCGGGTGCCCAGCCCACCCTGCCTCCTCGTAGCACTGGCAGAGAGGCCCCATGGCTCATCCGAGTCCTTTCCCTCTTTCTCCTCCTGTGACTTTTGGGGTCAGCTTCTCTCACCCCTTTCCTCGTCCTGGCTCCTCCACCCCACAGCTGGTTTCTTCCTTCTCACCTAGTGATGCTGCTGGCAGGGCAAACCAGGGAGCCAGGCACTGGGGACTTCCCCAGTGCCCGCTCCCCTCTTTGGCGAATGCATGGCGGTTGAGGAGCTTGGGGGGATGCGGAGCTGTTACTTGGGTGGCCGGCCTGGGACGTGGCGCTGCGTTGTGGGCTAGACGGGAGGAGCAAGGGCTTGTGCCTGTGGAAGGCTCGAGGACCAGGGAATGGGACGCTTCAGCCGAGCAACAGGTAATACAGGTTGCTTGAGACTGGTACTTGGCTGATGACACTAAGCTGCCCGTGTGGGTGTTACAAGGTCGTTCATTCAAATTCATGTAGTCTTGGAGGGAGGAAAACAGGAAAGCTGCCCTTGCATCAGAACATCATCATTTTGTATTCTTACACTATCATTTGGGGCTTTAATCTTCTCTGTCCCAGGACACTATGACTACGCCCATCTTTTTCCCTGAAGATTTTAGTTTAGCTTGTGTGTCCAAACCCGTAAGAAGACTAATAGTCTCGGTGGACATTCAGTGGCCGAATCTCTGAATCCAAATTGAATCAGAGGACCCTTTAATTGATTTGGAGAGATTTGGAAAGATTCGATGATTCGGCCATAGACACAGCTTTAAATGTTTTTTTTCTACATATGCTGCAATGCTGGGACGCATGGAGTGTCTCGTAAGAGCGCGGGGGACTCCCCAGTGCGCTTGGCAGCAAACATGGAAGTGACCCAGAAGCACTCCTGGGCCTGCCGGGGAGCGCGCGGGGGGCCCCCTGGGCCCTCCCTTAGCTCAGTAACTGGTGCCTCCTGGGTCTGGAGGGACATCTGGGGTCCCCCCAAACCTGATTTCCAAGCCAGAGGGGCTCCTGTGCACTCAGTGACAGACCCAGAAGTGGACTGGAAGTAGTTCCAGTCCACTTCTGGGTTCACTGCTGAGCATGCGGGGTGCCCCCCCATGCTCCTGTAGGGGAAGCTCCATCTGCCCCAGCATTGCAACGCTCACGAGCCATGCCTGGTACCTCAAGGTACGTAGAAAAAACATTTAAAGCTGTGTCTATGGCGGAATCGCTGACTCCAAATCAGCATCGAATCTTTGGGTTCAGCCGAATCGAATCAGGGACAGTGATCTGAATCAAGAAATTGAATCACTGTCCCTGATCCGGGTCAAATCTGAATTGAATATGGCCCGCTTCGCACACCCCTGCAAAATATGATGCTATTCGTTGCATCAGTGCTCTTAGACTCTTGAGAAGTTGCAGATCTGTAGGTATTTCTGCAACTGTGTTGTAACTTAATTGCATCATGATCTATTTCTACCATTTTATTAACTGGACTAGATTTGCTACTTGCTTCAACAGTCCTTGTTAGGAGTCTCAGAAACTCTAACTAGCTTAGGGAATGGACATAATGTCTTTCCACCAATGTAATTTACAGCTGTTTGATACACAGACATATGGCATACCCTGCTTAAAGTTATAGCCTGTCAACGGAGCTCATTAAATGCTCAGTTCTGTCCTTGCTGCTGTATCAGCACCCCTGAACCTGTCTAAATACTGTCATTTTCAGGTCTTCTAATATCAGCCCCTTGATAGTTGCTTCTCCATCATTGTGTCTGGTGCTAATTATGCAGTTAAACAGAGTATAATTACATCACCAAGTAGGTAGTTGTGTCTGAAAGATTCTTTACACTTCAGTAGTGTAAAT